AACACTGAATCTGTTCATTGAATGGATATATTTTTGATACTTTTCTCACACACTTCAAAATTATGCTAGTGATAAACAAGGAGTTTGATTAATTTTTGCAGCTGTTCCTGACCTATGTTTTTATATAAATATTTAAGTCTCATGCAGACTACTTGGGCATTACCTAAAAAATCTTTCAGACCATCTGTTTGATGCAGTTTCCAAGTTGCTGGGCTTTACTTACTGCCAAAACCAAATGAATGGCTTCTGTACCAATCCGACGACCGTGCGTTGCATCCCTGTGCGGGCTGTAAGTAGCAAGAGGGGTATTAAAGTGCGTTGGTACTTTATGCTGCGTTAAAACCTTAGTCTGTAGTTCAATGCCAGTCACCAGCACCCTGGATTAGTTTGATAGAGGGCGTAGATTATTCCTTTCCAACAGGATTTAGGGTTATTGTTTCAGTGTGTGCTCCAGGAGAAAGTACCCTGACCTGCAGCGGCAACAGCGAGCTGTTGAGATTGTTTCCTCGGGTCTTTTTGAGGATCCTCTTTCTAACCTCGATGGTTCTGTGAATTATGGATTGTTATGGTTCTCCCTCGGGTCTGTGCTCGTGTCTGGGGCATCGCGAAGGCACGTTGGCACGTGGCGGGTAACGTAACGCAGCTCTCCTGAAATGCTCTTGGTCAAACGTGGAGGTGTCAGGGTTGGGGAATAATAGAGACCTTGTTCTGTGAAGCTGGAGAGTGGAGGAGAAACTGCTCTTAGAAGTGAGATAGCTGAAGTAAACGTAGCTTTCTCTCCTTTTTATTGTTAAAAGGAATATGCTATTGGTTTTGCCTTTCAGTGTTACAGGGGACTCCTGGAAGACTGGAAGTTTGCAGAGGCAGATATGAATAATTTCTCTATATTGATTCTCTGGCTCTGGGTTTATTTTTTTTTAAAATGTATTCTCTGGGGTTTTTTTAATGCTTTTTATTTGTTTGGAGCTTGGTCAATTTGTTAGAACACAAGAAGAGAAAACTAAGAGAAAAACTGCTATTTCCATGTCTTCCAGCTCAGAGATGGGTGACTCAGATAACTTTGGTTTTTTGCCACCAAGAAAGTGAAAATATGAATAGTGGAACCCAGTTAAACGCTATAACTTGCCTGTTTCACCTGTAGTGTTTGGTTGTCTGGGTCCATGATGCTCATTAAATTGTGTAGGTCAGCCTCCTGTTCAGCACAGACCCATGGAGTCTTTAAGGCTGGAAAGGGCCTTTAAGACCATCAAGTCCGTCACCCCAGCACTGCCCAGCCCAGCCCTAACCATGTCCCTGAGCACCTCGTCCACACGGCTCTGAAAC